GGGGAACAGTGACTCATCCTCTTCCCCGGATGACTCCCAAGCCAAGACCCCTCACCGTCACAACTCTGAAGTCACAACTATTGTTCCTGAGAAAGGGAGCCTCACGGGTAAGTTGGCATGTGTGATGTATTGTAGAAGTTAGAGATGGCAGATTTCTTTTGATTTTAAAGTTGTTGTTTTGAGTCCAATGTGTCTAATGACACTATTTATTGAAGGAAATAGAATTAATATATTGATACTGGGAGTGAATGCTACATACATTAATCACTATTATTTTATTATTTTATACATATATGACTTCACAAGCACCAAGGAGTCAGTTATTAGGCCGGCCATGCTATGCCTACTTTCATCCAGTGCTTACAAATTTTCTGGGGGATTTTTTTTTTTTTTTTTTTTTTTTTTATTGGTAGTATGATAATGAGGATAATAGTGATAATGGAAATAATGTTCATAATGATGATAATCTTCATAGCTATAGTAATGTTTTTTTTCTAAAGATTTGGTAAATGGATGAAATCAATTAGGATATGGCATTAAGTCCTTGGTAACTTAGTGCTGCTTTAGCCATATTCCCTTCATCAGATAGTTCATGAGCTGCACCAGAATGATTTGAAAAAAAGCCATAGGAATATGATGAAGCACAAGCGCATGCTTACAGATACAGTGGAGACTCGGACACAAATACTAAGACACACAAAGACACATTTACATGCACACATGTAACTAAATCATATGCTTACTTGTATGTAAGCATATGCAACATAATTTGTTACAACTTTGGTAACTGTAGGTTGTTCTTGATTAATGTTGAAGTACAGTCTTACTATCTATAGGGAATGTTATGTTTGAAGTCATACATGGTGAGATGGTACCTTATATGTATAAAATTTGCTTATACTCTTGATATACTTAGTAAGGTGTCTGTACAATGCAAATCTTTCACAAGCTCATAAGTTTGTATGGAGTGTAGTAGGGCTAAAGTTTTCTGTTTCCAGTTCATCTCTTTGGCATCACATATCTTCCTGATGAACAGTTATCTAGTGGAGAGTGAGTGTGCTTACGTGCAACAATATGTTCGCGCAGGATTGGCTGAGACTCACATGGTAGTCCTAGCTGCCATCATTAGGGACTTAGACAGGGAAACTGCCCGTTCAGACTCAGGCAAGTTAAAATATGTTGTCTCATTGGTTGTTGATGTGGAGTAACATCTCTGTATTATGTAAAACAGATTTAAAAAAAAAAAAAATCCAACTCTATTTTTGTCAATGATCATCAGGAAGTCTTACTGGATATCTTGGCACCAGTAATTGGGATCTCTCTCGATATTCCTATATGCTCTCTACCGCTAAACTCCACAACGTCTGCTTCTGGGTCTCTGAGTGAGACACTTCAAGTACACTCCTTGCACAGCTAGAGCGCCCCTCAACCACCAAGAGAGACGGCCTGCGACAGTCTAAAGGCTTAGGAACAGTAACTGCACAGGTTAATTCATGTTTGTTTTTGACAAGCCAGAGAGGAGGGAAATGAAAGAAAAAAGTTCTCAGAGAAATTGATCGCTACATTTACTAAGGAGATGACAAGGGTGTGGATTATTTTCTTTATGAAGGTTATTTCTTAATGTAAATATTCATTCGACACATTTATTTCAGCGGTATTCTAGTTCTGAGTTTAAGTCGTATCGTGCTTTACGTTTCAAAGACGTGTATAATGCTTATCATGAACCAAAGGGACCGTCTGTTATCACGCTTGTTCTCATCTGGCAGCGCGTGTCATCAACAAGCACTAACAAAGTCCATAAACAAAATCCACCCACAACCAGAAGAACACTAGAAGGTTTGGCTCGCTCAAAATGTATGTATATACTAAGTGATCTTGACATCGTTGAAACTGTTCTTAGGAACTTAAACACTCCCCTGTTCTGCGAGGCTCACTTGGAAATTGTTACAATAAGAGACGGGGACTCATATGGAATAGTGGGGGTTGTATCGGCAAGAAGTGTCGCCATCATTCAGGGGTAGGGGTTGTTGAACGGGCGCAGTGCCGCGAGATTGCATTATATAGGCGGCATAGTGGCTGAGACTGCGGCAGTTCTTGTAACGACATATTGCGTCGAGAGAGTTAGCGAGTATATTTATGCCCTCTATCATTTACTTGTTACTTGATACTTATGTATAGAGTTGTAGTTGAAAGACTCGAGCGTGCAGATGGACTCCATCCTGCTGTTGCGAAGAGCGCTATCAGCCATAATTATATTGTTTGTCCCACGAGTTATCTGCAAGAAATATGTATGAGTCTTTCTTGTTGTGACATCAACGTGCCATGCGCGTTTATTTTACAGTAAGCCCTAAGTTGAGCCCGCCGGGATTCACCACTGGTATTAAAATTGTAATGGGGCATAGTTGCTTGTGTACCATTCCATTGCTGGATTTTCTATATATTTTCTATCTATTAGTTTCTAACTATCTCAAATTGCAAATGATGTTAGGAAATAAGTGAGAGAGAGGAAAGCCTTAGAGTGATTCTATGATATATTAGAATACATGTGTGGTACTTTCATATATATTTTGCTTTGCAGATTTGATATTGGTGGAGCCATTTTGCCGCAGTGCGGCTTGTGCCTATTCTAATCTCACGAGCGAGTCAAGCAGAATAACAGGTACTCCCGGTTAGATCGCATCCGCTGCACACGTAAATGTCCTCAGTCATCAGATTCCATGCAGATGTACACACACATCTGGCTACTGTCTACGACTCCTTCTCGTATTATTTTGAGTACTAATAGAACGCTTTATGAGGTCCCTCGGTGTTGGGAGCGAGCGGGTGTAGCATTACAATCATCTACTGTATTCATTTATAGAATGGCATCATTAATTATTCGTATCAGGATAAGGTATGACTTTACTCTGAAGTGTCTTGTGATATTACGAAGAAGATTTTGGAGTGGCGCGAGCCGAGGGAGGCGAGAAGACATTTAAGTGAAGCGCAAAGAGCGGCTGAAAGTGAGAGTGCCTAGCTCGGGCTCAGTGGAAAGCTGTATCATTGTATTGGAGAGGATTGGAAGATGAACTTAGAGATAGAATTATTTCTCATGATGAGATTTATGGCAAGCTTCTTGTGGAGTAGATGGGGCTTGATTTTTAATTTTGGGTTTTGTCCAAGATTCTCACATCCTTGCACTTGGTCAGGACGTGCACGGAGACGATGAAGGTGAGGCCTGCAGATGCGGATTGTTCGCAGTATAGCATTTTGATTGACGACTGGTGAAATGAACAGTACTCTCTTGTTTAATAGGACTTTTGTTGGGTTTATCGTTGAGTAGATTTAGGTGTTTAGATCCTAGTTTTTACTTGTTGTTGGCGCTTGTTTGTTGGGGAAGTGACGATCGTATGGTTGCATATAAGGGACTTTGTGCATATAGTATATTTAATCGTTTTTGTTTTATAGAAATATATTGACAGATGAGAATTTTTGTAAAAAAAAGGACATATTTATCAGATGCGTTATAATAACTATTAAACCTTATTTTTGTTGTGTCATTTTTTTTTTGTATATTTTCTACCTTTTTGTTTTAGTGGTTTCTGTTGCCGTATATCTCTATTTTTGCTATATATTCGATACCTGCCAACTTCTCCCGTATGTCTTGCTCTTGGTTTGGCTTGCTTTGCGAGTTTTGTGTTAAATTCCACACACCTTCGTGCTAGGTTTATCAAGTACTGTTGCCAGAGCGGCACGCGAGGAGGAGGCTATGATCACACTCACACGAGTTCTGACTATTCTTATGGAGAGAGTTGAATGCACTGAAAGTCTTACTGTGGAGTCTCTGCGGTCTATATTACGTGCGTACAAATGCGTGCTTCGGTCGGACACTTTGCTATCACTGTACCACGACGTTTTATCAACCCTCACATCTTTCACGTCTAGTTCTTTCTATCGGGTGTCCCCTACGATCACGACGGCGTTATGGAGTTTGGGCGCGTGTCAGAACGACCTCAGTCGCGGATTACCTCTGACCCACCCAAGTTGAGTCTATCCTAGGTCTATGTGCTGTGGCTAGTTGCTTTCTTCTCTTGCCATATTCGTCTGCTCCTTGACCACCCGGACATATGCCTCCCTCTGTGTCAGCCATGCCTGGAAGCTATGGCAAAGTGCTGGATGCCAAACTAGAAGGATCATCTATTATATGCTCTCTTGGGGGCTCAAGAGCATCACACAAGATTTTCAATGGCTGATTAAGGTACTGATTTTTTAGCTTTTTTCTTTTTTCTTTCTTTTTTTCTTTTCTAGTTCTTTTTATTCATACATGAGTATTTAATCATATTGGTTATTGATGCTTGAATGAGAGATTTTTTAATATGATTCATTGTATCAGAAAATAATATTTATGTCCAGTATTTCATTTTATTTAAACTGTTTCATTTTTGTTTTCAGGATGGACTTGTGAGGCAAAGCTTGACTACCCAGAAAGCTGATGCACTGTTAAAATCTGTTGCAAAGACTATGTGTAATGTCAAACATGATCTGAAAGTTGCAAACCACCTTATCACTTCATTGCTTAATAAAGTAAGTATTTGATTTTTTTCGTCAGTTGTTAATCTGCAAGTATGCCTTTGCATCATAAATGGATTGATAATGTTGTTGATTCATGTAGCAAATATTTTTCCCCAATTGATAGAAGTCTTACAAATCTTGTCTGTGATACTTTCCTGTGGATGACATGGTGTCAAATTAATTAAAAATCACTACACACCTTCAGAGTCCAACCATTTACCATATATAACAAGAAATAATTTATTTGTAGAAGTAGGTACAGGCAAACTTTAAGCTGTTTTGAGTAGAGATAAAGATGAAAGATGAAAATGGAATTGTATTAATTTTTTATTTTTTCTCCTATAGGGTTACAGCACTATGGTAGGGACACTCTTGACATCAACAGCTGCCTGCATTCTCTGACCTCTACATGTTGGATACTGTGTTGGCTCGCCTCCAGGTGACTTTAGATGAAGCATGTCAGAAAGGTGACATTGATTTCCCGCTCGAGTGAAGGAAGTGATTTGCTTCGTGCTTTGGACATTTCAGCAGATCAGCTTCCAATATCTGGCCTGCTCAGTCTCATCCAGGGCTCTTGCCTATGCCCAAGGTATAGTTTGGTTGAAAGTATGTTTTTCATTTGAAGACATACATTTTATTAAATTAGTTGAACATAGAAACAATGAATGTGATTGCTAAAGTGTTTTTACAGACTTAATGTGGTTATTGACATCTGGTGCTGATTGTTTTCTCAAAGGCAAGATATTGTATCCTATAATCAGACACTCTATTGCATTTTAGATGGAGTCTTCTGCAACAAATGAATGGTGTCCTGGAGGAAGGTAGCAAATTACCTATTGAGGCCCTTGATGCATATTCCTCTCTGTCCTTGCTGTATCTGGTGGCCATGTTCCTCGAGCAGGCCCACAACCCACCATGCCTAACCAGGCTGCTGCTCTCCCTGCACCTCTCAAATGACTGCTCTGGACAACTGGAATGCAAATAACAAAGTCAATTTCCCCACAGTCATGCATGGGTCACGTTAATGTATGATTGGCAAATTTTCTTTGCACAAATAGCAGGTAAAGCGAAAGTTGACTTGTTTTTCTTTAACGACCCAGGCGAGCTCTGAGTGTACCGGATAACAGAATTTAAGGTTTCAATACACACACGCCCAGGAAGTGACGGAATCCTCATCGAGACCAATACCCAAGTAGGATTAAGCATAAACCCTAGGCGATAGAGACGTCTTCCTACCACAGCGTAAAGAGTCTAGCAGACGCACCCCGATACGAGGGAAAAGAGCCAACACGCAACAAGACAACAGGAGCAGGCGAAGGGCGCGCTGCGTGAGCTAGGATACAATATGCATAGCGACGGCAAGCTCGCAGAATAAGCTGTCGGAAGACAGCAGCCAAGATACGGATCCTAGAACGCTATAGCGAAGTAATAAAGTCACTCTTGCTATAGTGCCCATCCGTGTACCAAGAGGAAGCAGTCAGCAGACGCATACGGTACTCCTATTAACAATCCGAGGCGATACAGCACTGCGTAATGGGCCGGCCTCCCTGTAACTCATGGTCGGCGGAATAATAGCTACGTGCAAGCTCAGCAGGGAAAAGCAAACCAGAGAAAGATAAGTTACAGCCGTGCAGGTGTACATTCTCACCTAAGTAACCGCTTCAGCCGGCGAAGAGAGTGGTAGCCACTCTGGTCCCAGAGAGGAGCCTTGAAAATGTCCGTCTCAACTACTCTGTGAGCAAGGGCAGACCATCCGCCAGTTGGTGTCGGCTCACATGATCAGGAGAGTTGCTATGTGTTGCCTTGCCTCTCCGGGTGGGAAGAGACAACATTTGGCTGTTTCTCATGAAAAGGGCAAGATCACTGTGCTCCAGCTTTCTTCTCTTCTTAAACAACATGACTCTGCAAAGAGGAAGCTTACCCTCACAAGACTCTCTTCAGCACCTGTGCCATTCACAGTGCTCTCTATTACAGCAAACCCTGCCAATGATGATTACCTTGCTGTCTGTGGTCTTAAGGTAAGATATTTTCAAGAAGTATCAGTGGCACATATAGCTGTTCTATGCTAGTGAATAAATTTTTACTCTATATTCTAATATTTCATAAGATGCATCTCTCTCCTGCAGGATTGTCATATCTTGACATTTGCAAGTGCTGGAAGTGTTTCAGACCATTTAGTTCTGCATCCCCAACTGGAGTCTGGGAACTACATTATTCGTGCAGTATGGCTGCCAGGCCAGCAGACACAATTAGCCCTCATCACAGCAGACTTTGTCAAAATCTATGACCTGAGTATTGACTCACTCTCGCCTCAGTACTTCTTCCTGCTGCCATCTGGGAAGATCAAGGATGCCTGCTTTGTCTGCACTCAGGTATTACATGTTGCTATAAAAAAAAGGTTTAGATCCCTCATTTGAACCTACTTGTATCATATATTTTATAGCTACTAAAAAGATAATTTCAGTTATAAAAGCTAACAAAATTTGGATTTTCTCACTTTACAGGATGCAGGATGCTGCTTGGTGGCCATGGCCTCATCAGTTACACACACAAGTATTAAGTGAGGAGAGTTCTGCACAACATGGACCATTTTATGTTACAAATGTGCTTCAGATACAGCACCAAGATCTAAAGGCAAGTTATAATATTCTAATCCTAAAAACAACTCATGATTTAAGTAAAATTCATGAAATGCAAGGTTTCATGTTAATGAAGCAAAGATAATGATTTTTTTCATGTCCCAACAGGACTGCAATGGCCAGATTGGAGGAGGAGGAGTATCAGTTTACTATTCCCATACTCTCCAAGTCCTCTGCTTCAGCTATTCTCAAGGAAAGAGCTTCATTGCACCACTTGTCTCCATAAGTAAGTATTTACTATAAAGATATAATGGACATCTTTTATGTTTCCATTTGCAAGTACATCTGTCATGATCATCTTGTTACCAAAAACTCTTCATTTTACCATGTGGCATTGTGCTTTCTGCAACCTCTCTGATTCCCTCAAATGGGGAGTTAGATCAATCACAGTTCATATGAACACACAAAAAGGTGCAGTTACCCTCTGCAGTTGTTGTAGGGGCCATGATGTGGAGTGGAAAGTGTTAAATTGTGGGAGGGATCGGAGGTCTGTTGTGGTTATTATTGGTATGGGAGGCCGAACTTAGATTACACTTGCCGGGCGTGAACCTAAATTGGTTGCATGTCCTTGGATGAGAACCATTTCATTGAGGTGAAGGACTTTAGTTGGAGATTTTAAGTTTTTAATTTCAATAGTTTTATAACACTATAAGTAGTTACAGTAAAAGAAAAATATTCATATGCTGGATTTTTCTGTTTCAGGTGAAAACGAACGTGTTGAGAAACTTTTCCCAGTGAGTGTCAAGGGAGGCAATGGTTCTGGAGGAAGCAGTAGCAGCAGTAGCAGTAGCAGCAGTAGTAGCAGTAGCAGCAGCAGTGGCAGTAGCAGTGGTGGCAGTGGGAGCAAGATGGCACCACAACCATTGTGTCAGTGGGGAGAAGTCACTGGCCATCCTGGGCTGATCACATGTCTTACTCAGTCTAGTAAGTGCGCTGTCATGTAATTCTTTTTATTTATATAATTTGGTAATTAAACAGCTAAACATGTTGCAGCTGGCAGTGTCATTTGTTTAATTATTATTTTGTAGATGATCCAATTGCCTGTGTGTAAATCAACTACTCTTAAAGTAATGACTTATTTATTTAAAATTATTCTCGTTATTAGGTAACAATCCTGTGATATTGATGGTGAAGCCCGACCAGATCTTGGTCCAAGAGATCAAGGTACTACCTGCCAAGAGCAAAATGACAGATCTGGTGGCTCTGCGTCACTCCTGGTCCCCTAATCATGAAGCAAAGACAACACTTATTCTATTGTGTGAAGACGGTTCCCTTAGAATCTACAATGCAAACCCACAGACAACAGGTTTGTTTGATGCTCAAATAATATGTATAGTTTTTACTTTTTATATTTCCATCCATAACTACATGAATAGATATTATTTCCTGTTTATGGCTAAGGAATCCATGGATTAGTTTATTGATGACATTTTTACTGATATTTCTTTTACAGATTTCTGGCTATCACCTCAAATGCAGAGTGTCAGTGCTATCTCAGCACTTCGACCTTCCAGGAAGAAGAAAGCACCCAAACTTGGAAGACCATCAGGTAAATTATGAAATATGTAGAAAATTATTTTGGTGTTATTCCAGGTGAATCATATCCACATGGTTGTGGCGGTTTCAGAGTACATGAATGCTTTATTTTATTATATAGTTGATGTATTATTGTTTTATGTAAAAGTGCTAGAGAGCATTTTTTATTGGATTTTTATCTTTCAGGATCCATTGTGTTCCCTGTTGACTTCTTTGAGCATTGCTCTGTGATGAACGATATTGAGTTTGGTGGCAATGATCTTCTGCAAGTGTACAATGTTCAGCAACTGAAGAACAGGTTGAACAGTCAAGGTAGTCTAAAAAATGTTTTGTTTCTGAGTTTATGCCTTTTGTTTTTGTTTTTGTTTTTTTAATGGAGTTTTTTTCTTGAAGAATATAGTAAGTTTGCAGTGATAAAATTTATTTTCAATTCTTTTTTTGCAGGAATGTACATAGCATCAACTAAACCAGGTGGTTTCCAGTTAGAGGCTACTAACAATGACTCCACTTTAGTGATCTGTGGCATTAGAATTGCTGTTGGTGCTGTTGACACTCAAAGGGTGCCAGCATTCTTGGAGGTTAGTGTTATGGATAATTTAAAAATCTGAGAGAAGGTCAGTGGGGGGAGTTGTTTGTTTATGATATTTTGTTTTGATAGTGTAAAAGGTGCATGCATTTTTGGTGGAGAAATATATTATTCATCATTACAGGTGTTTGGTCGCACTGTATCGATTGCTGCAACACGCAGTCGTTGGTTTGATGTTCCCCTCACCAGGGAGGAGTCACTACAAGCAGACAAACGAATTGTTATCACATTTGGACCTTCAGCAGACCCTTCCAATGTGACCATTGTTGACTCTGTAAAGATGTGAGTAGTGTATATTCTGTGTATTATTTGTTCTTTTTTGTAGTTTTAGTTTATTAACTGTTAATTCTAAAACCATTGTCATAGTATTGTAATATAACTTCATATAAACATCAGGTTGTATTGTCTTTTTACTTTGTTTCTTTAGATTTGTTTTCTTTTTGAGAAGTTCATACTTTTATTATTTTGATATTAGATATGGAAAGACCAAAGATGATTTTGGCTGGCCTGAAGAACCAGAGGACTTCCCCACCACTGTGAGTGGGTCTGGGACTGCTGGAACCTCTGGAACCTCTTCAGAATCAGCTGGAGGCAGCACTGCAACCACCCCTGTACCACTGACTGCTGTAGATCGTCTTGTGTCAGCAGCATGAGACTCTTGATGGATGCTTTGTAGCAACACCAGCTGAGAAAATTGTTGCCCGTGCAGGAGCACTAGAACTTGCAACCAAATTGCTAAATCTTCCTCTCCCACCAACTGTACAGGTAATTATACAACTTATATAATTTTTGTTAAAGTTTAATTATGTGAAATCTTTGATAATGTAGTCATCTAGTTTCTTCAGATACTAACATGTGTATTTTCTTTGCAGCATCACACTCGCACTCTGCTAGCCTCTTTACATCAAAGCAGAGTTGCATATCATAATCATAAAGGAGCACAGCTTGCGAATGTGGTAGAGGCACTCAGCAGTTTATCGTGTGACAGATCCTCATCAACTAGATTGTGAGGCATACCACAGCTTGTTTGCACAGCAAGAAATGTGGCTGTTGCCAGACCTCATAATCTTGTCAAGTATGTACAAATTTTATCAGAAGTACTGACTTACAATATGTAGGTTGAAATGAGTTAAGTAGATAGCATATTAGGTTTCATCTTTATTGTAGACAGATTCATTATATGGATTTATCATTTAGTTATATGTGAATTGTTTTTATATGGTATACTGAAAAAGTACCATCATGTGACCTGGCCCTGTTACCTTCTGAAGATGATTCCAAGAAAGTGGACATCCCAATTCTTCTCCTGGGCCAAAAACAGATGGAGATGCTTCCATGTCAAAGAAGTCAGATGGACTCCACTAAGCAAGGCATCAGACACTACATCAGACTCTGAGCAACACTTGAGGTGAGAACAGCAATGGCAATGATATTACTTGTGGATAATCATTTCTTAGCACAACTGATGACAGGTTGTTTGTCTTTGCATGGTGCCAACCACAAATCCCCTTCCTGACACCAGTTTGCCAACCAGGTAAGTTTTTATACATAAAGAGGAGTTGGAAAGAATTTCAAGCTGGAAATCTTAGTTCCACTTGTTGGTAAACTTATGGATTTTTTGTCAATATGGGAAAGCATATGATTTTTGTTTCTATAACAGTTATAAATTTGTTCCATTTGCAACTGACTTCGATTTTGACACAGTACAGCAGTGTCGAAATTTACATCCTGATACAGTTTTTCCTACGTAGGCCACTTTGTAGACTTACACAGAAAATTACTGGTTAAGACACAGGTAAGTTCTGCTAACAGGCACTAATCAGGATTTTGACCTCGACACAAGACGCAACATCCTGCCACAATTCACACCTAAATTCACATGCCTGGTATTAATTATTGAAAATTCTTCTAGATTGCATAATAACCCCACCCATCAATTAAAACAATACAAAGAATCCGGGCGGAGTTCCGGAGTCTTCCCCCCCCCCGCCCGGCCGCTTTGCGGAGCACTGCTCCAAACAGATCCCGCGCCGAAACTGTTTATTTTTCCTTTTCTATATGGGTGTGGGTTCTTTACTTTTTTAAATCTAATGATATATTCTGTGACTTAATTAATATTTTAATAGGTGTTGGTGTGGATGTCTGAAAAACAGAAACAACTACCAGGATCAGTTGGAGCTCCTAGTTGAACCTCATTTTGAGGGAGCTGAAGCTGCAGAGTTTGCTGGTAAGCTAATAAGAGAATAGTACCTTCATGCATATTTTCTATTTATAATCAGTGTGTATTTCTTTTTCATAAGAGACCATAAAATAATGTCAATTAACTTGTGTTTCAGGTGGTGGGGAGAGGCCTAGAAGCCCAGGAGCCCTTGGAGGTGTGGTGGTGGCCCGAGGTGCACTGATGAGCAGCATGTAGACCTCCTGCCGATGATGATGATGCCATGGTAGACTTCAATTGCACTCGTTGCATGAATATCAAACAGCACCACAGATTTAATCACCAGTCCGCTTGGGGCTGCCCAGGTACATCCCTCAGACTAATGGCCAGTCCAATAGTCCTCCAAGTAACTACCTGAATGCCTGCGTGGAGTCGAGCCAATGCCCAAAGTCAAAGGTGTAAATTTCAAAATTAGGTAATCTGCTGTTTCTTATAGTCCTGAAATATTGATATTTGGTCATTATGCTATTGATAGACATTAAAAAATAATGATAATTATTTACAGGATGGTGGAGAGGAAGCAAAGAGCTGGTGATGTTGAAGGTGCTGATGGGCAAGAAATGGACACTATTCTGACACTACTGCCTCAGCTAATGGCTCAGATGATGATGATGGTGATGGATCTACAGCAGCCACTGATGGATCAAACTTGAGAGCTTCCCCAGCAGAACATGTTAGATATGATTTTGATGCTTCATTCATATTAAATACAAATGTATTATGCTGCCACTGAGTTTTTTCAGTCATGATTTATGGCTTGAGCCAAAGTTAATGAAGATAAAGTTATCATTAGCCAAGTGAGTGAGTCTTGGATATTTTTGATCTGAGTACAGATCAAAAGTTATGTACCCTTTTTATTTTTAAATTTGACTTCCATTTTAGGCTGGAAGTGCTGGAAGTGAATCTGGAGGATCTGTTGTTGAGAGCTTGGGTGGTGAGCACAATGTTTCTGGACGAAGTTCAGCCTATGGTGACACTGGACAAGAATCTGGCGCAGCAGCTCTTCGTGATGGAGTGTCAGCATTACCTACCACACTTCAGGTAAGCTTTCATTGAGATCTCATACCTATGTATGATTATATATTAACTAGCATTTTTTTATTTACCTAATAATTTAAGAAATTATTAGATCAGATAAATTATTTGAATATATTTTTTAGGGTGACTTGGTTGAGGAGGAATTACCAGAAGGTGGTGTAGGACTGCATACACTCCGTCTGGCTTTGTTAGACGCCCTGGTGCAGCGTATTCCTTCTCTATCAGCTGTTGGAGGAGTTACAACTATACCCTTCTTCCAAGTAAGTGATATATAAAGGCTCAGCAAGAATGATATAAATGCAAAACAAGAAATGAGAATGAGATCATTTATGTGAAAGATTCCATCAAACTATTACTAGATAATTTTGCGGTCAAGTGAAAAAAGGATTTCTCTTTAATTTGACATAATAGATTGATGATGAAATTTTTTTGTTTGTAAGTAATTTTTGGTTATTTATATTGAATTGTTTGATTCTAGTCCTTGATGCTGACCTCTGACCTAGATGGGAATGAGACAAGAGACCGTACAAGCTTGGATGCTGTCCTCATGGCTCTTGTCACTCAGTTGAACATGAGCAGCATTGATGTAGCAACAGTCTCTGAGCGTACACCTGGCAAGGAGGTCCAGCTTGTTGTAATGAGACTACTGAGTAAGTATTAGAAATTGCAATGACATTATTAGAATTTGAAATTGATGTGAGTAAATATTTGTGACTTTTTTAAAGGTTTAGAGTTTTAGAAATGTTTCCTGCAGATGAATTCATACATATTCTTTATCCTTTTAGGTGTAATGATGTCAAGAAACAAGTCTGGTGGCAGATCAAGCAGTGATAATTCCAGTGTGATTCCCCAGGCCACAGCCAAGTGCTTGGTGCAATCAGGAGCAATGGAGCATTGTCTCTCCTTCCTCAAAGCTCTGCTGGAGTATTGGCGAGCAACCTCGGAAGAGCAGGGTGGCACTGTCATTGGTGCTGGCCTCCTAAAACCTCGACCACTTTCTCTTCCACCTGACATGTCTCCATTTTTCCTACGGCAATATGTGAAGGGACATGCCCATGATGTTTTTGCAGCCTTCCCTCACTTGTTGACAGAAATGGTTTTGAGGCTGCCATATCAGGTATGAAAGACTACCATTAAATGGATAACTTTCTACTTTAGAACTTTATTTTTCATTATATATTTTGATAAGAAGCCAATATTTTGTAAGATTCAGTTTGTTTATCCATATTT